TGAACTTACCCTCACTTCCTCCATATTGCTACAAAAGGGTAGCCTAGAGCAAACCAAGCAGGAAAAAACCCCCCCCCACACACACACCTCCTGAAACACAAATCTACCCACTGTGGGTGTGATATGGCACCAGAGCAGGCTGGAGGCAGAGGTGACTCAGCTGTTTGCTCTTATGGTTAAAAGGCTACTGAGTGGCTGACACAGGGACACTTAATCATCTGAAACGGGGAAAACCTGTTAAAATAGGTAAAACAGGTAAGTGAAGAGGCATGTTTTAAAGGAGCAACAAAACATGACTTGCTTCTTAGACTTTAACAAAATGACTACAGCAGTGCAACTGCTGTAAAATCTCCTTCCTCTCATAGGAAGAAAGAAAGTTTGGGTTGAATATACTGGCAGTATTTAAGAATAAAATATGATGTTTTCCGTATGAAATTATTTTATTTGTGCTTAACAACGATAAAAGAAGAATGAATATACAGAAATCTATACTCTGCTACAAGCAAATTTTTGTATAGAATGCTTGAATTTTTTAAAAAATAACCCCTCAGTGAACAGGGTAGGTAATAGCTGTCAAAAGTTAGATGGTAACATTGCAGGCTAACAAATGTAAGCCCAATATATCAGCAGATGCTTTTGTATTTTACTATATTGCATATTAGGGGATATGAAATTCTTGGATGGAGGGTCATGTTTGAACCTGAAAGTGTTAGTTTTAAAGTATATATTCCTTGACTTGAAAATTAAATCTGTCTAAAATGAACAACTTTTAAAGAGTTACATACAAGGGCGTAAGTAGCTTTATACATTATTTATCTTGGTTTTTATACTTGGAGCTGAATGTTATTTGAGGAAGTAGGAATAACTACAGTGATTTAGAAGTAAATGCTTTACATATAAAAAATAAAAGAGAGAGGGGTCTGGAGGAAAAGTATGTGTCATCTTTATGAACCTGTAAATCTTTCCTCTAAGAACATCTCTTTTCACAGAGGACTGTTTACAGCGAATGAAAACTATCCTGGCAATCCAAGTGAGTATTTCCCTTCTGTTAGGAGGTGAGCTAAAAGAGGATGTGGAAGAAAAGCTGCATAAGTGGGGAGAAAGGAGCAGCCAGGAACTGCTCTGGCATTCCACCTGCAGCCATCGCTCTGCTCAGGGCTCTGGGCAGCACTCGGCTGTCCCAGCCCCGGAGGAAAGGACAATTATCCCAGCGAGGAATGTTTGCTGTAATTCTGTCTCGTGTCATTAATACAGTAAATAACTAGATAGGGAGCCCTGTCGAAGGGGAAAAATAAAGGCCGTGCCAAGCCCAAGCCATATGTAAGTTGCTGTTTGCTTCGCAGCAGCTCACACTGTAGATAATGTTTTCTTTGTTTTGCCTTTCATTATGTTTGTAAAATCTCCATTTCCATGGCAGGTGGCCACATCTCCCCCCGCTCCCTGAAGAGCCCCGCGTGTCCCCAGCCCAGGCGGAGCCGCGAGCGCAGCGCTCGCTGACACCACACAGGGAGGGAAGCAAGCTGGATTTTTAATAGCAGAAATTCCTCCACGCCTTGCAGCTCTTTTTGCAAATTCAGAATTCAGTGCTCAGCAAATAGGAGGATGTTGCTCCTGTCCCCGACAGATTAGGGCCAGTTAATAAACTGTTCCGGGAAGGAGGAGCCGGTGGCATGCCGAGAGGCTTGGGGACACCCGGGCACTGGCACAACGCGAGGGCTCCAGAGTTGGGGAAACGTGGGGTGCGGATACACAAAGCTATTGCTGAGGAATTACTCACGGATCCTGTTAGGATTACTGTGCTGATTTTATGGACTTTAAAGCTGACCTTCCAAATGACAAATTGAGAAGGAGCAGGGTAACACCGTTTTGGGTTTTTTGGAAAGGAAAAATGCAGGTCCTGGCTGGTTTTGTTTTTTTTTTTTTTCTGTGAGGATGAATAAAGAAGGAGCAGGTTTAACACCAGGAGGGCTAAAGAAGCTGCGTGGGGTTATCTGGCAAGAGCAAATGAGTTTTTCTATGAACATTTGGGATTTTTTTCCTAATAACTGTAACATAACAGTGGGAAGAAAAACTTTCACAGCAAGGTTGCAAAAGCCCTCAGCTACTAAAAGCTGTTAATCAGTCTGGATCTGTCAAACAAATATACATTAAAAGCGAAAGATAAGAATTACTTTTTTTTAAAATCGGATAAAATACTTTTTTTTTCCTAAGGAGGATTTATTTTTGAGCCTTCTACAACTATTATTAAAAAGAAATGCCCTCATTCCTATATGAGTTTAAAGCCTCAGTGGCAAGGTACCTAGGACATCCCATGGGCTATCCTTGTATTTAAGCCTGGATCACTGAACGAGGGGGCTCTGCTGTCTCCCATTCAGCTAAACCATGCACTAGTGAGTAGCAACACTGAAAATCACACACAAAGTAAAAGAAAAAGCCCTCAGTGTTGCAATAAGCAGAACACCAACAGATTTAACAGGATCACTGTGCAGCCAGACACCCACATCACCTCCGAGTTTGGCAGTCGCTACTTTGACTCACTAAAATAGATCCCTTTGCCTCCCTCTCTGGTACTATGACACATCGAAGCAAACCCACTATTACTTCCTTTCACTCTGTGCTATCGCCAGACGCAAGATGTGGAAGGAATTAATTATGGTTAATTAAAAATTAACTCCTCTCTTGCCTTTGGTCACTGCATTTCCCTCTCTGACTTGCTATCTGCAGCTCAAATGCTCTATTAGGTTCTGCCCTGGTCACCTTCTATTTGGGAATAATTTGCTTACTTCTCTTTGGCTTCGGCATCGAGCTCTGTCATTTGGGCTTCGCGGTGCCAGCTGCAGAGCTCCAGCCTGGCTCCCACCTCTGCTCCGTGCCGCTGCTCCCAGCTGACCACCTTGGCTTCAGCACCTCTCCCCAGCCACACAGTGTCACTCCTTCCCGGAACCCCCCCCAGCCTGCAAGGGCCTCCCTCTCCTCATGTACCGAGCTGACTCTCTCCAGCCCCGTCACTTGATGGAGCAGCTCCCTGCCAAGCTTTTCAACCACGGTTCCTCCGCAGACACTACCTCTGCTGCACAACTGACCTTCACGAAACACATCGTGAGTGGGATCTCTAGTGTCCCTCCCAAACACAGACAACAATTTCCTGTGGGGAAGAGGAGAAAAGGAGGTGCAAAGAAAACTTCTTTCCTTTGAGCAGGTCTCCACACACTGAAGCGCAATAAATCAATGGAGGATTAACCATGTTTTTTTGCAGCGAGTAGAATGTTTGCCAAGCAGATCAGGAAAATTTCACCATGTCATTCATCTGCTTAGGAGTCAGCTCTGGACCAAGACTGTCAATGTTACCTGCATGTCTGTCCTACAGAAACTGTCACCAGGTTTTCTGACGAAATTCGATGGAGATCACTGGAGTCAGTGCCACACCAAGAATGCGACCAGAATGGCCAGCTTCAGAACTTCCTAAGAATTCAGAAAGACTAAACGGGACTATTTAAGGAAACAGTCTGTGTTAGTGACGCAGTACTGCGACAGAGGTCTTACAGAATTTTCCCTGGAAGTTTTGCTACAGTCTAAGGCAAGAGAAAGTCATCAGCAGACACTGAGAACCCTGCACCTCAAATGCAAGAGCTGTTATAAACCTCTGAATTTTAATATCTTGTTGGAGAAAAGTAGCTGGTTTGATCCTGGAGTTCCATCTGTCATCTCCTCTGTCAAGGCTTCATTAGCATGCAAGTGAGATGTCACCCCTGTCACAGCTTCCAAGGAATTGCTTTGTCGAAGTCCACTAAATTAAATTAGCCAGCAGAGACAGAAAGTGAACATTTATGAATACACAGGCATCAAGGATAAAAGTCGTTCTTACTGCTGAAGGCGTATTGTCCAAGCTAAACGCAACACACACTTTGGCACCAGGAAGTTTTGGAAATGAGTCTAGATATTGGTGACTGAATTCTATCAGTTGTGTGCTTTATAAAAAGTATTATTTCAAAATCATTATACCATCATCTAGCCTATGGAAATGCACTACTCAAATATTTACTAATGCAGTTAACAGAAATGTCATATGGAACTACATCTCTAGCTAGCTGCAATACATCTATCACTATAGCCACTAATAATTAAAGTTACCTGGGTATCCATCTTGAATGCTGTTAAAGTCAGCTGTTAACAATTATTCCAGCTAAACCATTCAAAAGGTGCTTTGAACTTGTTTAAGGTCCTTCGTAACACTGTGCAGTTAGCTAGGAGACAACGTTCTCACCCTAATGACTACCATCAATAATTTACTGTGGGAGTCAGGGACTTTGTCCTATGGTACCTGCATACATTTAGTGGCCACTTTTCCAAGATAAGAACTAGAAACTGTATCTTCCTTGAGATTACGTTGCAGGCACCAGTGATCTTTGATGAGTTGGTATAGGCATTGTATGTTAATTACGAACTACTGAAATAAGTGAGGGCATCCATCTGCTGTATTAAAACTGCCCCTGGAGTCAGCCCAATCCAGGACTGTGCCAGTGTTGCAGACCCGGTGGTGGGTGCTCATCTGCTTGTTGAGAAACTGGAATGTTAGAGGCTGTAGGAGCTGACTCGAGCTGAAAGCTTTAAGGTTAATAATGTATATTCTCTTGGTTATAGTATCTCTCTTCCCAGGCTGAGGCTAAGACATGCTTAAAAATTAAAAGTGCAGATATCCTACAAAGGAGGAACAGGTGCTAAGACTACATATTAATCTTTAATGCGGTTCCAGCTCACACACTAAATTTTACAAACTTCCCTGCATTGCTGCAGCCTCTCCCATCTCTTCACCCCACTGTGCAATGCGCCATTCCCTGCCGTAGGGCACAGGCATGGATACAGACCTAACGTAAAGAAAACGGACTCCAAACAGTGTTAGAATGAATACTCAACTCTCACATTCACATAATGTATTCTCCCTTTTTCTTCCACAGGGTCCTGACGTGTTTGTAACCAGATCTAAGGAGAGGCAGTCCTACCTCTGCTGGCATCCTCGCTGCACCGTCCTCACGCTCAGTCCCACACACATTAGCTGACGAAAAAGTAGACCTCGAGCTTCAAGCAGTTTCTACAGGCGCTTAAATAAAGACAGAACATTTATTGAATTATTTCAGGTTTATCTAGCCATTCATTCCCCATTATCTATCGTGTGGTGTATCTAAAGTGCACGTGCATATTTCTGTGAACCGCAGAGCACGTGGCTGTGCAGAATGAAGAGTGAGGAGGGCTAACATCAGAAAACTCAGCAGCAGCAAAGGGTCAGGCTAACAGTCCCACAGACTACCCTCTGTAGCCCCACCGTACACTTGCACCACAGGAAATGCTGACAAACACTGCAAAGCCACTCAGTTTAGATCTTTAGACACCTTTCAGGAAAGCGAGAGGAAAATTAAAAAAATTAATATAATATGACACAGTATAATACATAGATGAAAAGCATATGAAGGTGTATCATTGGCCTCGGGGCAGAAACGTTGAGGAAAATTCATTAGTTTCTGCAGGGCTAGGCAGCAGCGCCAGAGCTGGGTGTATCACTGAGCATTGTGAGAGATGGAAAACCAAAACACGATGCCCAGACTCGGGGAAGTGCATGCTGTATCGATCCCTCACAATCACTTATTTTCCTGACAGAAGTTTTTGTGCCCATCCTCATCCCAAAGTCACTTTCTTTTTACACAGACAATATTTTCAGTAAACTGGCCTGTACTGTTTGATGTGAAAAAATGAGTATGGAATTGAAAGACAAAAGGAAATAATATTCTGTGCTAACAAATGCAAAATGACAATTAATTTTGTACTTGGAGCCACGGTGCTACGATGGGCAGATATGAATGGGGCTCTTCAAGCAGTCTTTGCAACTCAGGCTTGAGAATTTAACCCAGAACCCTGCTTTACTCCAGCACCCACGTTGACAAAACCAGAGATGAGCACACTGCCCTGCGTTCCCACCTGCACGACAGAGCAGTAAGCTCCTTTCTGCAGACAGCCTGCAGAGGTGTCTCACCCAGGAAATCATTTTAACGTGTCCTGTTCTTCTTCAGACATACTGCAAGCACAGCACTTGGGTACCTGGCCTAATTACAGAAGGAATATTTTAGTGGTTGGAAGTGGCTTCATGCTGCAGTACCTTTGTGTAGAGAGATCACCTTCAGTGATTATTTATTTCAGGAGTTCAGATTCCTGCCTGTCTGTGACATGATGAATGACTTTTAAGTAACATAATATCTGGTTTCCTCCTCTTTCACACACCCATTTCATTGTCAGTTGTCTTCAGTGACCAGATCCGAAAGGATTGTTTGCAGTCAAAAGGGAAAGAGAAATTCTTTACCCCATGCCCAGCCTCCTCTTCTTCATATTTAATTGAATTCTTGCTTGTGTTAAAATGGTTATCAATTATTCACTCCTGAACTCATTAATTCCAAACATCCCAAGTAATAAACAGGACTGCTTTACTGCTCTGTTAAAAATTCCAAAATACTTTTGTTTTCCTTCTTAATCTGTTCTCCACGTAACTGCAGGCCAGCCAGTGAATTTTGTGGGGCTTCCCGGTACATATTATTTAAAGAAGAAAGCAGGCTAGCAGACAAGGTCTAATAGTGGTGCTGTGTCAGAAATAGCACAGGGCAGATTCATCAGCTTCAGACCCGAGTCTCTCCCATCCCTGCTGGGGCCAGTGCTGGCTAAACAGCACTGAGAAAAAGTCCTTTCAAACTGCCAGCTCAGACCCCTCTTTCAGCCTCAGTTTTACCATTTGAAAAGAGTATTTTTTGACTAGCTAAATTAAATCCTTGACATCTTTTGTTTATAACTCACATTCTTTCTCAAGCCAGTTGAGAGGAAACAAACAAAGCAGACAAAAAAACCCCAGAGGGAACAGGAGATAATTTGATCCGGGTAAAATACAGCAAACCTGCAACCTGCTCTCTGTGAGGCTCCCCAAACCACGCCGCGCCTCACTAACACCACCATCACACAAGGACGAATATTTCCAGATGCAAAGGCTCTTCTGTCACTTTAAGGTTAGAATACGTTATTTTCATGTTGCATCTAAGGCCCAGCCAGCAATCTCAGCACTGCTGAGCGGGAGATGAGCCATCAATAGACACAACTACTTGACAGAGCCAGGGCAGTCCCCTGGATAGTCAGCACGCCTTAAGATTTAAAACCCTGAAGAAAGGGGCTGTTATAAACAGAAGCCTTTTCTTCTTATAATTCTTTAATATCAATCCAGTATGGCCTTGACAATCCATGAAACTTGTGTAGCAACAAGGGGGTGTAGGTATGATGAAGGTATCCCATTAAAAAGTTCATCTTCACAAGGCAAATGAGAAATCGTGCCAATGTGATACAGCCTACTGAACAAGTCACTGAATGCCTCAGTTTTGCTACCTGTAAAAGGGGCCTCGTTTTACATTTGAATTTTTACTGGCATCACTCAGAGAAGTATTTGGAACAGGAAAATCCACCTTCCCATGGCCTGGGTCTCATGGTCTTCTCGTGGATTTGGCATTCTGGAAAAAAACATAAAAAATAATGTCTGACAAAGTGCTGTCTATACCTTTTACATTGGTCCATGCAATACAATCAACCTTTGTTCTTCTCACTTCTTCTAAAATGAGCATATCCCTCTGTTTGCACTTGAAATTGGAATTAATTTCTTAGAACAAGGATTTAAAGTTTCACCCTAAACTGGGAAGCATTCAGACAGAAATTTCCCAAGCAAGCAATGTTGTGACTTGACTCGAGTACTGGAACACACGGAAGTTAATTAGTACAACAGATATGGAAGTAGTATTTTTGTTAACTTTGCCTGACTGCTAACAACAGAGGGGGTGACACGTGAAGCATTTCAGCTCTGTAGCTGAAAGAGGTCATTATGCTCCCAGGGAAGGTGTCTTGCATCCTTTCTGCTGGCTCTACGCATGTCAGCTCGGGAGCCAGCGGCTCCAGCGTGAGCTGCTGTGCACAAGCTCTCCTGCCTGGCAGCCCAGAAGGGCTCAGCAGGCCAGGCATCATAGTTTCATGAGGACAGAAAAACAAAAAAAACCAAACAGGTGGCTTAGACCAGCAAAATTCGATTTTCAAATATGTTTCGATAATAACTGGGAATGATAAATCCATTTATTATAATTTAATAAACGATCTAGGGAGCTTATGTCTGCACAGAAAGGGGACTGATAGGGTGGGTCAGGATTTGTGACACCTGGATGCAGCACACAAGCCTCTAGTGTGAATTTACCCAGAAAATGCTTATTGTACACAGTAATGCTGTACAAAAACAAGCATGTGTATAAAAACCCAGCCTGCCTTCGAGGATCCAAGCCACTCAGGTCTACCTCATCTCGATCTTTCCACAGCAGTGTACTCCATCACATAAATACACCCTCAAAGCTTCACTTCCTCATCTGTAAAATATGACTCACAATACTCCCTCTGCCTTGCTCGGCTGTTGTGAATATTCAGACATAAATTGCTGTGCAGTGCCCACATGCTAATGCACGAGGAAGCCATTAAAAATCCCCAACATAGGTACAAGGTTTTTCTAGGGGCATGTAAAGCTGTAATAAATCTATTTCAATCTCACTTCTCATGCAGGTCACTAAATCTGTGCCTATAATATTAGGAGTGTGCTGGCTAACTGGCCACAAGCTATACAAAAGCCTTTTCTCTCCAAGTTCAATCAAAAGGACAACAGCATATGACAGACCCCTTGTATCTTTTGGTATTTTAGCCTGTCACAGCAGGGACCTCCTGCAGTGCTAGGAAAAGAGGGTTTTTCTGCTGGCCAAGCTAAAGCTAACAAAAATACCTAATGAGTAGAAGAGCTGAGAAGCTCGTGCATTTAGCTATGTCTAAAGTAGAATGTGCATACTGAATGTGGGCATGAAAAATTAATTCTAGAGATGCTATCAGAAATACCTTCAAGTGACTGGTTGGACTGAAAAAAAAAATACTATTTTGGTAACTGTTTTTACTTCAATTAAAAATATTTGGGGAGAAATTATACCATTTTCCTACACCTCCATTTTCTCCCTGGAATGGGGGAAAGGGGATTCTGTCCTACAGCCTGAACACCATCACTGACTTGAGTCCTGCAAGCTTCTGGTCTGACTCTTCCTTTCCTTTCTCTAGCACTGATTTTTCTCCTTGCTAATCTCCTTCCCTCTCCCCCATACCACAGTTTCCACCTGTCTGAGCTACTTCCTTTCCCGCTTCCCATCACTGACCCCAGTGAATTCGCAGGGGGGGAGGATGGGGTGGTTTGAGGAGCTCTGTGCAATGTGGCTACACCTCCGGAGAAGGATGCAGTGAGTTAGAGAAGCCCTGCCTTGTGGCTGGGGTTTGGGAATGCAATGTGTGCCCCTGGAGTGGAGCATTCCCAGGAGAGCTGCAGGTGGGAGAAGGGTGTGACACTATGTCACACCAGTATTACCTGAGATTCCTAGTAGACTTTCAGCATGGAAAATATTCCCTACTGTTGCTCTAAAATATAAAGTGCCTCCCTGCAAATTAATAAATTGAAAAGCAAATCAAATGGTATCTACCACCTGAAAGTGACAGTCAGTCCCCACAGGAAAAATGAAGGTAGAGCAGCCCTTTCATCTATGATGGCACCTTTGTTCAAAAAAAAGCAATCCAGGGAGAAAAAGCTAGAGATTCAGTCCAGTAGAACAAACTACTCATCCAGATGTTACTCTATGCTGCAGAAGAAACTTTAGAGACAGCCAGAAGTAAGCCATAACTGACTTTTGGTCTGGTAAGGATGCCTGTGCTCAGGCCAAGGAAAGCAGTTAGAAAGGTACAGTGGCTATATAAACATTGGGTAATCCTCATTTTTTTTATCCAGGACAATCCTAGCCTATAGGCTTGATGACACAGAATTTCCATGATTAAGTATCTGTTAATTAAACACACAATATATAATTACTAAATGCAAGCTGTTTGAGCTCTTAAGGAGCTAGAGTTCCTGCCGTTCAGAACAGAAGCATACTTGTCTTGGATTCCTAAACACCCATTTTGTGAAAAACTGTCCAGTTTGATTATGTGTGTCACATCTCATTAGAGAAGTGGTGTAGTTTATTTACGTGACCTTCAAGCAAAGCTGAAGAGGGAGCTACAGCAAATGAAAATATATTAAAGGAAATGTCTTTTGAAAGAAGTATCTGTTAACCTTACCTGTGTAAAGGGAAACTTGCATCTCAAAATCCAATATTTAATCAAAGCCTTCTGTAATTAGGAAACTTGCTTCCACGATCTTTAATCCAAAGAGGAGTATCGTTGATAGATTACCTGCTTCAATAACTCTGGCAAAGCTAAAGATTCAATAAAAATTGACTTTATCTTGCAGCCCACTGCTGACTCACTGCAAAGAGCGAGCACAGAGAACGATCTTACAAACTCTTGCAGGGCTGAGACTGGCTCCCTCATCAGCATGGATTGGTAAGGTCCTTCCAATGAGAATTCATTCATCTATAATATTTAGAGCAACATGCACCTGTCTAACTGTCTAATTCTTCTTTATTCAGGGGTGTCTTTGCAGAAAGGCACCACCTAATACTGACAAAAACATTTGCTTTGTGATAGAAAAAGGCCAGATGCTCCACTACGAAGCAGTAAAAGATGCCCCTGTTGAGGTATACAGAGGTATCTTCATGTTCAGATTCTGAATAAAACTTCCACTCAGGAGTTTTGGGAAAGCTTTCTTATATTCGCATGGCTAGTGACTGTAAATCTGTTTAAAACTATCTTGGCCATCTATCTCAGACAGTCTGAGCTTATTAGAGAGTAAAGAGTTGCTCATCCCCACCTTATGCCTACATTTTGATTTTCAGTACAAAAGTGTGTGTAGTGAAAAGGTTCAACAGGTGCACGATCAGGTCAGATTCTAATTCATGTACATGTCATCATGCAATAGGCAAGTTTTAAATAATGCAGAGCTCAAAGCAGTAAAACTACGTAAAAGCAAAGCCTGGAAACAAAACCTGTTGTTTCATTAAACTTAAAATACAATTTGACTCTGTCATACCAATGTATATGAGCTATCTGCATTAAATTGTGTTTAATTTAACTCTAGAACTATAAGGCCCAATTAAAAATAATGAGGCCTGTCTCCACCTGTCAGGCTCAATTAGAGATAATGGGAACTGATAGCTCCTGGAATAGATTCATTTTTGTCTGATAGACTAACTGGGGCAGGGGTCTTGGCAGGGGTCATTGGAATAGACCCGGCAACAAAACATGGGTCATTCAAGCTTAAGGAGTCTTAAGGAACCTAGTTATTAAATAAGGAAGTAGGAAGTAAATCAAATCCAAAAGCACATGAATAACTCCAACAGATTCTTTTTTTTTTTTTTTTTTTGAATTCATCTAACCATTAAACGGCCCGTTCTAGACCAACAAAATATATAGTGCAAAAAGGTTAAACCTACTCGTCAAGACAAAAATAAAACTAGAAAAATAGGTGCCCAACTTCTTATTCCAGCGCCAATTTTCAGGAGTTTAGCAGGATCAATATTTTTTTTTTTAGGGAATGCTCCAAGGATTGTAGCAAAATTGCTGAGCTTTTATTTTACTGAAGTGTTATAAAAAAATAAATCCGGGAAAGATAATTTGAATGTATGAAGAAACTAGCTGTCTTGATAGACATTACAGATGATGAACAGATTACTTCCTATTCAGCCTCAGCAATAAAAATAGGAGAAATCTGTCAGCTTTTTGCTAAGCACTTTCAAAGATGTAATTGAACAGTCAGACAAATTCAGAAACGCGCCCGAGAGAAATGAAACCATTTGTCCTTGAAGAAACATGAATGGGCGATACGGTGCCTGACAACTTTTAGGCACTAGACAGTAGCTGTCATTTTAGATGAGTAATTAATCTTGAACCGAGGGGGAGACGTGGAGCCCTGTTGACTGTTTATTCGGCTAGAATGACAGTCAGTGTCTGTCAGCACGGCATGGACCCTGCCTGGGACTGGTAGCCTCTCCCAGGCGAAGCTTGCCTGCGCATCTATTGTCAACAGCGATGACTCTGAAGTTGGGAGTTGGGCAATCCTGACGCCCCGTGCCTTGGCTCGCCTTTTGTTTCTCTGTGAAGACACTTTTTTAATCTAATGATATCTTTCTCAATGTCTAACGATGCTCGCGCAACGTGCCGCTAATGGCATTTTATCCCCTGCTCCCCTCCCCCCTGACATGTACAGGCCTGCAAAGTCATGCTTTGCATTTTAAATCTGCTCTCTGTGACTTCTGAGGAAAGAAAGAACAGTTGAGCATTTCAGCTTCTCCCCAGCGTGACTTATTCTGAAAGAATGTGCAAATGTATAATTTGACCCATTAATTTCCTTCACACTTCCCTTCCTGTACACAGAGAACCTGATGAGGGGACTCTATGGCCACATTAGAACAACACAAACACGTCACTGCTAAAATACAACGGAGGAGCAACTACTCCCTTCCTCCAGTGTCTCCTTTGGGTTGAAAGCACCGAGAAACAACTGGGTGACAACCTCCTGCACTTGACTGTACCTCTGGCTGCTGCTCAGTGGCCACACTCAGATGGGAATCAACCAACAGAGGCAGGAAGATCTTTGGTGCCTGAGCCATGACTACCTCTGCATCTGTGTAGCACTCAGAAGAACAGGGCGTAGATTTCAATCACAGTCCTCAGAAATGATAGTTTTAAAAAACTAATAGAAGAATGTCTGTACTTCCTTCAGTCTGAAGTATATCCAGCTCACGTCATGCAGCACTTGGGAAATCAGAAGCACTGAAGGTTTGGAGAATTCTGTTACTTGTAGCAGGTGTTACCTGCACTCAGTAAAAAACTGCTCTTAGGATGCACAGCTGTGTGTCTCTGGTGGGAATTCAGGGGTATGAGTGCAAGGACCTGTTATTTACACAAATTGTTGACGGTGGAAGATAACTAATAACTTACAGAGGGATCTCTGTGGCCTTGTACTCATACACCTGCATACATAGATACATACACACCCACACCTCTCTCTGCATTTTAAACCCTCCCAAGTATTAGGGAATATATTAATTTTTGCACCTTTCACTGGAAGAATCAAATGTTTTGCTAACTTGATTCTCACTTGAGCCCTATGACTTTGGTCAATGCCAAGATGCGTGTTCTGGGAAATTTTCACATCCCTCTGTCCTGGTCTCATCCTGTGAGTCTCACAGGTATGTGGCACCTTTGAAAGACAAATGTAAGCATGGTGAAAAACTCTAACAATGACATTCATTTCCTTATGTCAGAAATCTAAAGTGGGTTAGCATACTGAAGATTTAAAACGTGGCTGAATTAAATTCACAACTTTGAAGGGAGTTCAAGGCACTCATAACAAAAAGATATCGCATTTCCTAGACAATTGATCTGGAAGAGGTTGCCTACAGATCCCTTTCTGCAACTTTTTCAAAGTCAGAGCCTATTTTTCTGAACAGTGATCATCAGGATTTGTGGAACTGGGCCAAGCTGAATTCATACAACGACATCTTTTTCTGTGAGGAAATTTAATTTTTTTTTCCTTCATTGCAATAGCAAATGATGATGACATTTTTCATTTCTACAGCTTCTTCCATCAAAGTATCTGAAAGTTTTATAGAAACTAATGAAAGAAGCCCTAGCATAGGAAAAGAAAGGGGTGTTACCTGTTTTACAGAAGAGTTAACCACCGCACTGACAACCACATTATGGCACTATCTGCTTAACAGAACTAATCAGTCATTTTAGTGATAAATTCCAAATAGGAAACATTTGAGGGACCAAAGTTTACATTTTCAACACCATGCTGTAAATCTGAATGTTTCTAATAGACCCACGACGGGTATTCCATACACTTTGTGATGTTACTTGCAATCGTTGAATGAAGAACTTAACTTCTGTTTCCAGCTCTATTTTTGCTCTTTATTCCAGAGCTCATTTCCTTTCCCACTAACCCGCTCCCCCCAGCTCTCCAGACTTGCCTGGCAGCAGCTTCCCACAGGAGGGGTGCAGGGCGGTAGCCTGGAGCGAGCAACAGGGGATGTTGTGGGATCGGAGCAGGTGGCACAGGCAGGGGTGAGGAAGCTGCTCCCCTGCACCCCGGAGACCAGAGCATGCCCGGAGTCCCAATTCTTCAGAACTGCTTTTCCTATATCGAAGATAAAAACCATGAGAAAGAATGAATTATTCAATTCCCTCAGCTGCTCAAAAATGACCCTCTGCTATATAGGAGGGAGTAAGAAGAACCTTTGGCACCAGTTCTCAATATTCAAGGGAAACAATGAAAAAATGAAAAAGATGGTAAGAAAAGGCATTTGGACTAGATTTCTTTTTTAAAATCATAACTTGAAAGGAAGGTAATGAAACCCTGACATTACACACTAAAAGACATTCTGCAAACATTGTGAAACTTCTTCGTTTTTAGGGAACACTAAAATGTAAATATTTTCTGGTTTAAAGAAGCCTTTTCTTGCTACATTCCTATGTTAATGGATAAAATATGACAATATATATTCTAATCAGAGCCCTGTGTAATAAACTGAACTACTTCAGACAACGATGAAGAAAATCTCGAACAGAGATGTGCATTCAAAACGATGCTTAAGCAAATCCTCCTGATTACGTATTAAAATTTTAAGTTTGGACCATCACACAGGATCAACCAAAGTGTTTTAAACTGTACTCTAGAAAGTTACAATCATGAAGCAACAACTCCAACAACGCTTGTGTTAAGTGCCAAGGGTGTGACAAAAGAACAAAAGCCGGGAAAATTAGATTTAATGTCGGAACTCCACGTTTCACATGACACTGAACTATTTTCGTTTCACCCGATGGCAGAGTGCCACCATTTAGAGTTGCCTGGTATTTTAAATTAGATATTTGGCTTCACAGAAGGATTCATGGCATTCAAAGTCATGCGTAGGAAAGCACTGAAATAATCCACACAACTGGCAACCAGTAAGGATGAGCACAAATACATCAAAATCCATTTGCCAAGTTGGCCAGGGATAACATTCTGATGCTGAGTAAAAGAAAAAAAAAAAAATCACTTCTCCACGCAGCTTCCAAAATGGTGCTACAACCCTGCACTTACAGAGCACTGAAATAAAAGCAAAGCCAAGTGCCAACTGCTAGATTTCAATTTCCATGTATCAAATCCTACACAGAAGATAATTTTATCTATGGTTAATTCTGTCCCCATGAAACCAGAAATTCTTTGGCTTCAGTGGCCAGGACTAGACCCTTGGTTTCTTTTCAATTTCACAATAAAATCAGCTCACTCTAGTTTGATGGTGTAATCTTTCTTGCAGGGCTCAGAATGGGTACGCCTGACTTTCTTCAGCACGTGCATCCCCTGAATCGATTCCTATTGCTCCACAGAATGCCCTTAATTTGGAATAAGAAGTGAGATGTTGCTATCACTTAAATCTGAAGACTGTCACCACTAGAATAATCAGACGTTTATCTTACACTGCCATTTGAAGAGAATTCGAAATACAAAGAAACTCAGCAGGCAGTCTATGAATTCCCCTCCGGCCTCATCTTAAAAAAAAAAAAAAACTTATGGAAGGAAGAAGGAAGAGACACATAATTCATCTTGAAGATACCAGAGATTTTCGTTTTGCCTGTGCTAGCTTTGAACAGGCTGTACTGGAGGGCATCGTAGCACCGAGGCACTTCCCACTGTTCAGTGGGTCACCTACGTACTGTAGCAGAAACTGCTGAACAATTGGTTTATTCTCGTGATAGTAACCCAGGAAACAAATCTATGATGACACTGGTACGTGCATTCGTGAACTTAGTGGCCTTGTAGGTCACTGGACAAATCTCTCTAAACTGAACTGTTGACAGTTCTTTGCAGGGTTCCCCACAGGAAACCGAAGGTTAATTGACCATTCTTTCAAACCATGAAATGCTTTTGAAAATGTTAGTTTTAAGTCTCATAGCCTAAAATCTGATGAAACAGCGTGTCTGTACTGTGGTGTCTTCTAATTACTGAAATTAAGAATTTTGGTCAGGGAAGGTGCAGAAATGGTTTAATTAGATGTCTGTAAATGTGAAACAACACTCATCTAAATTGCGGTACTGTTTAGAACAGAGGTGCTGAGGTAGCAGGATACCTGCTAGAGAAGCTGTGCGTAATAGAAGCGACTACTTCTTCATTATGTTAATTTGATGATGGCCTTATTAAGAGAAGGAATCTTAACTTTTCAGTCTTAGGTCCTGAGAAAAATATGTATGTGCTTACCCTCGCTCCTGTCGATAGTCTCGCTGACTTCAAAGGGATTATCACAGTGTGGGTTTCTGCAGGATACTTTCACCTGTAAAATTATGCAAATACTCCACCCTCAGAACCAGGAATCCCAGAAAACACCCGATGTTCTTGACCGACTGGCAGGAACATAGATTTGCTTTTATGAGGTACGATACAGGTGTAAAACCAGTTATGTGTTCACCTAAGATTTACAGAAGCTAGAAAATGGAAAGCAATCGTTCTGTCACGGGTTATGAAAGTTCTTTATCATACTGTATTTGGGCTTTACATATTTAGAGTATTACCCTGACATCCTACGGGTGTTATTTTTATTTTGAGGTAAAACGTGTCAGTGTATACGCTGAAAATATTGCGGAAACCAAGAAAAAATGGTGTATTTGTTATTAAAGTTTTTCTCCAGAAACCTTGAAGAATACTCCACTGAGTATTCCCAGTCATGGTTAAGAAGCCTAATGTGATCAAGGAGATTTGAGTTCTGCAAAACTTTAAATCCCAAGCTAGACTTTGGCCTTTCCCTAGCTGTTGTCTTGTCACTGGCATTTCTACGTAAGAAATATCAGTTTAAGCGTGGCCAGACTGTGATCTTCAGCCTCTCCGTGAGGCTCAGCCTAATGGACTGGGCAAACTTAATTCTGCTCTGCCAAGGTTTGACATCATAGCAGCCTTGCTGCGAGGCAAGGTGGACCAAAGTGGGCTCTCTGCCACTAATCAGTCATGCTCCGGGTGTCCATCACTCTGTGACACAACCAATTTAATCTTTCAAGGGCTGAAGATTCAGCTGTGTCTCCAACTGAGGCAACAAACAGCCCCTCAGAGACGCATTTCCCAAAGTACACATGGGCTCAACGCTCATTGCTTCTATGACAAAAAGTTGTATATTTACCCAAAGCTGAAAGCAGGAAGCTGCAAAGTTTTCCTCTTCTCTTCTTCCCTATCGTTTCATCTACAAAAAGGAAAAATTTTATGTCAGCATAGGTATACATGAAAGCATTCACTGCCATTATCAGCACAACGCAATCCACGCAGATTTGCTGAAAACAATCAGAAATACATATTTTAGGACAAGTTCGTTGCTACGGTGAAGAAATAGGTGACACCTACACATGACTCTCTGCAGTGTTCTTCAGCTGTAAATAAACCGCAGCCTGCAGGAGAGCAACAGAGATCAAAACTAATATTTTTATATGCAGCATCATCTGTTGCTGAAACAGTCTCTTCCAACGACAACGTAAATTATATCCCTCAGTCAGCAGCATATTGATTTCCCTCTAAATTAAAAAAAAAAAGATTATTGTAAAAGTATGAGTTTTATCCCCAAAACGCAAAATAAAAGCATTAATGCTGTGCTTATATCGTACAGGGATTTGTTCTAACTTCACTGTCTAAATTTAGGCCATCAAAATTTAAGGGTCAGAGTAGGTTTTTACACCCACCTGTTTTACGAAGAGGATATTGATATTACCTCCTGCACACGCTGACACTAATTGTCATACACGACATCTACAGACAACAGAATGGTTCAAGGAAGCAATTTTAGCTTCGGTCCTAATTTTTCTTATTTCTACAATCCCACATTAGACACTGTACTCCTGAAAGTAACTATTTTGCTGGAGGCTCAGTAAAAATATACTGAAACTACATTTCTCCGAGATCACTTTCTCCTTAATAAAATTTTGAGGGTTAAAATTTGCTAACAGCCTGTGATAAGAGCAATTACGTTGGACATTCGAAGTGGTGGAAAACACGCCAGCCAACCAGAATTCTCTTGTCACAACACTTGCTTCGTAATATTATATATAATAACCATTGCGCTGCACAATTACACTATCTATAAACTACGTTTCGCCCCAAAATAGACATGTATCAAGGCAAAATATTCTTGTAGACCACTCACAAAGATAAAATTGTGCTATGCTCAGGTTTAAGTGGCTAAATTATAAACAGATTGTAGGGCTTTGTGTGTCCTAGTGGGTCTGGTTTTGTGGTTCTGCCAGCTCTTAAGGCACATATCACAGCGGCTCTGGATTATTTTCTGTTACAGTGGTATTTAGAAGCCCCAGGCTCATTTTTCCAGGCACTCTGCAAATTTACAGCAGGGAGATGGTTTCAGCCTCAAAAGACATTATAAATCATACTTTTGTTCAGCATTTTACAGAAATTCTAAAAGACATATAATGAGAGGAGTTGAGATAAACGGAGCAGCCATCCCCAACTATTTTTTTTTTCTAAAATTCAGAATTATTCAGTAACACTGCATTCTAAAAACTACATCTTAACCCTTAGAAAAATTAAGTCAGGATACCAGCAAAAACACTTCTCCCTCTGATGATACACCTTACCCTAACGAACCCAGACGCACTGTGATGGATTACACAGCATGATGGATTTTGTTCCTAAGTGTTAAGAATTTCACATTAAAATCAGTGAGTAGGTCAGATGGCAGTTTTAACTTCATGGCTATACAGGGCAGCAGTATCATCTTCATGAGGATGAAGATTAATTTCTTACGGGGCAGACTCCCAGTACTTCAATCAGAGCATGACAGCTTTCTCCCTGCTGAACAGAGAACAGCAGGCATTAGTTTCAGTAACAAGGACAGTGAGAGAAGCTGCCAAACTCCTTCTAAAGGAATCACCATTTGTTTGTTGTCTAAAGATGCAATAAAACAAAACAACAGCAACAAAAGAGTGAGAAAAGAGTAACTGCCTTAGAAAGTAAAAATGGGATCCTAAAGGGAGTAAGAAGCAGGTTTCCCTCTGTTTGTGATGCATGTTATGAACATTTTCAACAATAAAGGCATTTTAGAATGTAGCTTTTTCTGAACAAGCCAGGCACTAGCCCCTCCAGCATGTTTTCCTTACCTTAGCCGGGAGGAAGGCCTTTTTGTCCGTTACATCCATGCATGTAATCAGTGATTGTGCCTTTTGTACAACTCAGATTCACCATCTGTATGCTCCCAAGTGGCTAGACGAGTGCTAAAACCCCATCCTCATGGGATTAATCTGCAATTTCACACTAAATGATTTTTAAGTATAATTTGTTACGATACAGTATTCTAAAATAAAAAAAAAAACGGTCAGTGCTTTTGCATCGTAATAGAAGGAGGAAGCTTGTAAAGTTTCCTGTATTTAAAATGGGTTGTAGGGAATCCGCTTGCGCATTAGTTTCATTCAGATATGAATGCACACGTCTTGGGAAAAGAACCTTTGGGTAATTGAAATAGCTGCTTTTTATTTCTGAGGGAAAGAATACAAACACCAACTTAGAATCTGTGCGCCGGTGGGGGGGGATGAAGTCTAACGTACTTCCCACCTTCTAGAATATGCACGATGAAGTTGCAGTTTAAAGTGTAAATAGAATATTTCGCTTTTGTACAGAGGGGAATGGAGGGATGAATTGTAAAGGCCCTGGGTAAATAAAGGAGGAGCTAAAGAATCCACTCTTTCACATAAAACAAAGCTGGCTTGAAGTGTGCAAGGAAATTATTCCTTTTTAAGCAGCACTAACCGCTTTTAGAAGCGCCCTGTTTCACTAGAGGGCACTGATCTTCATTCACATCGTTATTTTCTCCACACATTTTAGATACTCAGCTGAAGAAGGATGAAAACTATAATCAGAAAACATGCCAAGTGAGGAGTAAGAAGATTGAGGGTCAGTACACACTAATGTCCTTTGACAGAAAAGATGATGAGTTAAACATGAAGCTGCTTTTCAGCCACACTGAGTTCAACATAGAAGCCACAAGTTCCAGTCCAAATTGGTCTGAGGTGGGGGAAATATTTTGATTTTACAGCCTGACTAGATGGAACACAGAGATCATCAAAGTCTTCACAGAGTTCTCATAAATCTCTGCTTTTGAGGGTTCCTCAACTCTCCTGCGCTTTTTTTTTTTTTTTTTTTTTTTTTTTTTTTTTTTTTCAAACTTGTTTTACAATGACCTCAGCTGCTAGCAAAATGAATTCAGTTCATCATCCAAGGGAAGCTACTACAGTTTCAATGATAGTCTATAGAAATTCAAGGTAATTTTAGGAGAAATTCATACACAAGGAAGTCAGTGCCTTTACAAAGCAAATCCCTCTTTTGCCTCTCTCGTTTTATTGCATTATTTATTTGCTACAACCTAGTTACTCCAAAGAAAGGAAGAATTTAACTGCTGAACATTATGTTATTTTAAAGGCTACGTGTGTCTTTACATGCCACCAAAATAAATTAGGTAGAAACTGGATGAATAGAAATATCCAACATACATTTCTCTGCTAATACTCATTGTAAAAATGACATCAGTTCCATCAGGTGAATTTGCCCTATTCCTTAACGTAGACAAGACTATAAAAGGTATCTTGTATTCTCTCATTTTAAATCACATAAAGGAACTTAGATAACATCTATCAGAAAACAAGACACACTAATACTCCTTTTCATACTATTCTCTTGGACAGCCTAACATCTCCAGTGTAACATTAACTGTGGAGATAACACCCAAAACAAGGACAAACTGGCTACAGTCGATCTCTCTAAAGCCAATCATCCATTTGCAGTTTACCTGTATTCAAACTCTGAGCTGACATAACACTGAACAGTCAAAAGAATTTCTGAAAAAAAATACAGGGGATGTAACAGCAAAAACATGCACGGTAACTTCTAAGGCCTGCTGCTTACTGAGCAAACTCTGCTTTTAAATCTGTTTGGTAATTTTAACATTGTTTTAGCTGGCAACTGGCAGACTCCACCACCTGCTCTAAGGAGTCACAAAACCCCCAGCCTGCAAATATCCATGTGCCTGTCTCCCAAGAAGTATTACACGCCACCGTTACGGAGTCACAGAGTAATTTAGGTTGGAAGGGACCTCCGAAGGCCTCTGCTCCAAACCTCCGCTCAAAGCAGGGCCAAAGACCGATTTGCTCAGAGATCTGTCCACTCAAATTATTAATATCTCCAGGGGCAGAGACTCGCCATCCCTCTGCGCCCTGCCACAGTGTTGAACTACCCTCCTTGCGAAAAATTTCTTCGTAATTTTTAACTAGAACTTCCCTTGTTGCAACTTACTGTGTACTCTTCTGTTTGGAGAACTAAGCTCTTTATCCCTTCACGTTTCAGTTTAAGCTCCCCCAGTGAACAAGACGGGTATAAGCCACCCTTCCACTCCTTACCTGTTACAATCTGGGCCCTCCAAGCAGGAGGTATGAAAATCACCTGAATGAGAGAAACGAATCCCTGCACCCAACGTCCTGCTACAAGGAAACCAGTCGAGCAAAAAGTTCAACGTAACGGCTTGAGCAGATTCCAAGAAAGTCTAAAAGAAATCGTGTGTTTTTACCTTTACCCCTCCTGCAAATATTAAGATACAGGAATGCATTTTTTAAAAAGTGTTTTTTAAGCTACAAGGTAAGTATATAATGACTGTATGATGACCTTGTCATAAGTTACAAAAACAACACAACATAATCACTGTAATTAAGGGAACACTTGCAACTGTGCAAACTCTATGCCTTAGGCTCTAGCAGTACTCTGACTTTTTCTTTTATTCTGCTTTTTGGTTCTCCAGATGTGCCTGGTATAGGCCTTGATGCTGAGAAGTATTGATTACTCTCAATTTCTATTGACAGTAATTAACAGAGAGGGATCTGATGCTCATCAAAGCAAACAGATTCTTATTAACAGCAGAAGCAAGCATCGCCCCTGTCCTCATGTTTCGTTCCCTCCATACCATGAGGTAAACTAGCAAGCACATGGAAATAAATCTCTCACGAGATCTGGGTTTTCATTCTGCGAGTATATTTAAAGTATTTCCACATTTACGCCTTGCTACGCAGGGTCCAAACCACCTGGTTTCACCACTGATTTCAAACCGCTTCTACATAAAGGCCACCTGTCACGGCAAGCCGGGCCGGTACCTGTTTTGATGATGGGCTAACAGGAAGAAAAATCTGGTCTCAAGAAGACCCAGCAAGCTCCTGGGGCTGAGCCTCCGCTGGTACAAGGGCTGACCACGGTGCAGGTGTTTGACCCCGTCTCTGGTACCTGGAGGTAACGCTGCCCTGCGCTCACGCCTTTACGGCCAGGCTGCACTTAAAATCCTCTGGTGAAAAAGTAAAGTATGGTTGTCAGAATCCTTCTATTTCCGATTTGTTGTTTATGTATTAATTTAGGTAAATAAAGGTGCCCACGCCTACCAGGCACCCCGCAGCCCGGGCCCCAGCCTGCCCAGGGCTCTCCCGGCCGCGCCGCCCTCAGTCCCCCGGGATGGCCGGTTGCTCCGCGGGCTCCTTCCCTCCCTGCCAGGGAGAAGGCGCTTCCCCTCCGCCTCTGCCCACCGCACAGCGAGGAAAACCCTCCGGCCTCCGCGGCCGCGGGCCCCCGGGGGGAGCCGTCCCCTCTCCGCGAGGGCAGGGACGGCGCTCCCTCCTCGCCCCCGCTCCCCGCCATTTTCTCGCCCCCCGTCTCCTCACAGCCCAGCGCCGCGGCCCCTCACCGCTGAGGCGGCGGCGGGACGGCCCCTGCCCCGGCTCCCTTCCCCGGGCGCTGCCCGCCGCCGGGCCCGCCTGAGGGAAACCTGCCGCCGCCGCTCCCGGGCACCTTCCCGCGGAGGGGCAGGGGGTGGC